ACTATTTAGAGAGAAATTAAATTTGCTAGAAACAAAAGAGTAGCCTTGAGCAAGGCCACTCATCCCCCCAAAAATAATTAGTAATGCTGTGAGTGCAATTAACAAGTATTTAAATAAGGAATTGCAACGAAATCACAGCTTTGGAAGCCAAGTTCACTTAAAGGCCTGCAAGATCAGGCATAGAAACCTGTGCTAAACATACCTCTTTCTTTATAGCAAAGCCTGCCTCTTTTCAAATTCCGTTAAAATTAAATTCCTTAACAAGGAACACGAAGGGAAAGTGAAGTAGAGATTAGATTGGAAACCAACCAAGCCAATAGGCCCAACTATGAACCGGCCGCAGACGAATACAGCACAGACGTACCTTTTATGAATTACATTCAGGATATTGCTTTATAAAAACAAATTCACCAACTGGGCTTGAAATAACTAATATGCAACATGATTAGTAATTTAAAAAATAATAGCAAGCCTGTAAATAGTAAAAAATATCCAGTAAAAAAGTGCGATAAACAATCATGGGGAAGCATGCAAAATGAGTAATAAGGCTGAGAAAAAAGACGGTCTGGGAAGAAGTTTATTCAAGAAAAAGATGGTATAGGAGTTCATTTACATGGAACTATGATATAGAATTAAGTTAAATTTTCCCATAATGCCATTCACCCAAACAAATAAAAACAAAGGGCTAAAGTAAGTGAGTGAAAGATAACCAGTAGTTAAATAAAAAAAATTCGAGAATAACGAAAAAATCATATCGTATAGATCCCTCCCCGGCTTCTCCGTGAATTCTATGACAGAAGAAGTGGCTTAAAACCATGATTAAGAATATTCAAAATTAGTCAGAATCTAGAATATAGTTAAATGAGTGAGTAAGATGTAAGCATGTAAACGAAGCATTCAAAAGGAAAGAAGAATGAGCTTCAAAAAGCTTAACATAATAATAAGGACCACTGTGCAGATGTGGATCATGGAGATCATTTAATTTCCTACCATTTCTTCGAAAAAAAGAAAATAAGTGTGGCAAAATATATTAAAATGTTGTTATCAGTTAAGAAATAAACACAAAAAACGATTTTAAAAATATTGATAAATTTTCGAGATGTGTTGATATTGAATGAGCCCGTGAGCCCGTGTCGATCTGGCAGTATAAACATGAGTGGAGACTTGGCGAAAAGAGTTGGTCCGACTAACGAGCTGCCTGTTAGGAGGGGCTTATGCGACCAGGCTGAGAACTGGCTGCGCCGTCGATGGGATTCAGATTCTGAGGTTTAGTTACTCTTATTAGGTGGTGGTAGTTCGGCAGGAGTCTGGTGAGGAATTCGAGCTGTAGGGTCTGGACTGGAGGACGTTCGCAAGAGATACGACGCATACCCTGTAAAAACACGAACAGAGACCGATGGGTGGTACAGATGTTAGAATAATAAATAAAACAAGTGGATCATTAAATAGATAAAAAATTATAAATATGGATGATGGGGTATCAATGAAGCTTGATCAGACTGTTTTATGACCAAAATATCTATAATTTTAATTATATATATATACATCTATGCAATCTATACACATATATATATGCTGCTACGTTATAGCAAAAAACGCTCTCAAGAAAAAATGAAATAAAAAATACAACTCCTAGAAAGCTTATGGTAATTTAAAAGGCTAACAATGAATAAGAAAGAAATATGGAATAGTGTTTACTTAAGATTACAAATTGTAGGGATAATAAAATATATGGCCCATATAATCATTGATTTTATGCAGAAATAGATCAATTTTAAACTTTACATTTGTGAATTCAGATTGCCAAAAGACAAAATATCCTCCTGGTAGTCTCAAAACCTACACCTAAACCAAAAATATCCTAATCTAAGATCATATTTAGATTTTCTGGGTCGCTATTAGCCGAGTTCACCTAAATTGGTGCCCAAATACCACCAAATTAAAGCAAAGGAAATGATGGAATCTCCTCCAATAAGGACAGACTGGTAAAACACTCCGACCAAGAGAACCAATCCACATTTGGAACTAATATGTCAAAAAGTTTGGATTTTAGCATAAGCACAAGGATGCAATTGTATTTAGGTACGTAAAGGCGATCACACATGTGACTGCTAATGTCATCCTGCAGAGCCTAAACAAATTTTATCCAAAAAGATGGTAGTTGAGTAGTATCATTATAAAAGAACAAAAAAAATTACAGATGCGAATAAAGCGTAATATTATTAAACTTTTATTCATGAATCAGTTCAGTAGAAAAACGTCATAGTTCTCGAATTAATTGGCATAAAGCAGATAATAATAACCTCTTCCCCATAGACTACTGTGTTCTCGGGCAACTGTTCAGCTGCAGTGACCGAACACATGGCGCCTATGGTGCATCCGTTAGAGACAATTGTCTGCGGTCCAGTGAAGCTCTTCGACTCAAAGACATTAGAATCGCCAACTTGAAGAGAATGGCAAACGGCTGAGATCTGTAAAAAATGTATTCCAGTAAAAAGAAGAGAAAAAATCATATATGGACTGGTGCATGACAGCAAAGGAAGTGGTCAAAGTATGCTGTCGTTTTCACCTCGCCCCCTCAATTTGATAAAATAAATGTGAATTATATTGGCGGATGACTAAGAGGTAAAATTAGCGTTTAATGTCCAATTTGTAAGTTATCCCAAACCATCAATGTATTTCTTTAAATATCATCTATAGGTATGTCACTCCAGTATAATTATGTCCTAGAAACGTAGTTACCCTATTCAGAATAGCTATAAATTTAACCTAGAGGCTGATAAACTATCACTAGGAAGCATTTCTTCTGCAGCAATTGTTGTTTTGAAGTCATGAAGTAGTATATTTACAAGACAGCAATGCGACTTGTTTTAAAATTGAGAAAGCGTCACTGAGGACTTAGTTATTTAGGCACTGGTAGTTGATTATTGAGGTTTTCTCTACAAGTTTGGTGCATGGACACCTATCCAAGATGGAGGACTACTATGACATGGCCTAAATTTGCTAATCGCCACGTGATAAATAGATCATATATTGGTGAAGCGGAATCGCTAAATTAAGTATTAATAATGAATTAATCGTCTTAATCTATCAATGCCAGCTTGATAAGATAAGTATGTCTGCCAAACACAAATAAAAATATGATGAAGAATAACGAAGAGAAAAACAAACAAAATTTCCAGCTTGTGTGATGGCTTTTAGTCCATTATAAAAATAAAATAACTATTTGCATGATAAAATGCCTCATCTGTAAAATCGACGGTTCATTGATATACCCAAATAATAACCAATAGATCATAAACTAGAACCTAAGCCATTCGTCCATCAAACAGTCACACCATGTTTCAACGGACCTTATCAAGTAAATATCAGCTCATTTCTCTAATCGTCTAAATAATCCAGGTTCTGATCCCATCAGAGTGATTAATTGTAATTAAAGACTCTATAACCAGAGAAATCAAGAATAAATAAATAAATCGGCATGGAAATAGAGGCGGAACAATGTGTATAATCAGATCATTTAACATTTATCCCGATAAGTGTTGAGGCAAGCATATAGCCCTTACTCTCTCTCCCCAATCGAGAAACTGCACACCTTTTAAATAGATCCTGCTCCTAAACCCCATATGTATTCCCCATTCGAGAACGCAGATTCTA